GACAATGAGCACAATAGTCTAATGATGGGAAGTGAGCCTTTAAAACTTCAAGTTTACTTAACAAGCATTTAAATCACCCAGTGGGCAGTTCCAGATCGGTAAACCCAGTGCACAGGCGTTGCTAATAGGACACTGCCTGTCAGGAGGTTGTCGGTGTTTTGTCTTTGCACCAGTCCTGTAAGGTGGGTGCCTTACCATCACCACTCTCAGTTATAGCTGAGGACCCCTGGAACGAACGCCGTCCATCTCAAGTCTGGTGAGCCAGTGACGCCAAGGCTGACTCCTGGGAGCCTGGACTCAAAAGTTCAGACTTTTGATTATCCCACAGACTCTTTTCTAGTATCCCAGGCTCTCAAACCGATGGGCTAAAAATGACTTAAGATACACACTTGACTCAGGGTAAGGCACATTTTTGGAGGGATTCTATTTGGTAACAGTGTTTCCTTGGGTAAACTGTAGTCTATGAACAGTCCAATTTCGTTTCCTCAAATTTCCCTTCTAAAAAAGTCACCAATTATATATTTGGCCCAGATATGTAAAATGGGCAGATTAAGGTATGATTAACCTGGGGCCACTTGAAGTAATTTTTTTGATGGTCTTTATCTTTTCTGTTACAATGATGCCCTGCAATGGACGCTTGTTGTATATAGTATTAGATGTGGCACAGGTTTGTCCTTACTTGTAAAAGGGCTACTACATATATCCAGTAGACTTCCTTTTAATACTTTCATAGCACAGACCCCACCGATGCCATTATAACTCAGTCCTATCACAAAACCTGGAATTCAGTACCAGAATTCTTTGATCTGTAAAGCACTGTACAAATTAGAAAGCACTTTCTTTTTTTTTTCTTTTTGGTTTTTCTAGACAAGGTTTCTCTGTATTGTTTTGGAGGCTGTCCTGGAACTCACTTTGTAGACCAGGCTGGCCTTGAACTCAGAGATCCGCCTGCCTCTGCCTCCCGAGTGCTGGGATTAAAGGCGTGCACCACCAATGCCCAGCAGAAAGTGCTTTCTCATACATTATCTCACTTGATCCCCACAGCATCCCTCTAAGAGGAGGCAGGGTTTATAATCTCCATCTTGCTAACGAGGAAATGTAGTGAGCTGAAACACCTTGCCATGAGCAAAACAGGCTATCTGGGCTATCCGGCGCTGTAAGCTAGCTAGCATTTCCTCACTGCACTTTCACCACGTCTCCTTTCTGTGGCCTCATCCTTGCTTCTCCTAACACTCCGGCTTCCCTAAAAAACACGATGACACCATTCAAAGGAAGGGTAGTTAAGACCTGCCTGTTGGTAACTGCCAAGACAGGACTGGTACTCAACTTTCTTCCGGTCATATCCTTAGCACACACACACTGAAAGCTTCTTCTAGATTAGATACTGCATTAGATGAAGAAAAACGGTTGCTGCCCGATGGAGACCCCCCCCTAACGGAGAGGGGTAATAGACCATTTCAGACAGTGATAACTCTCAAAGGGAGGAATAGAGCATAGGGACGGGGTCAGCGGAGGTCTCACCAGACAGGTGACTTTCAGAACTGATTTCTTAAAGGTCGGAAGAGAGCCATGAAAATAATGAGGTAGGAAAAGAACTTTCCATGTGGAGGAAGAGTCTGTAACTAGTGAAGTTTCTTCTTAGCTATGAGTTAGTATGAGCTTCTGAATAGTAACTCCCAGTCCTTACCACTCACTGAGGCCTGAAAGACCAGTCATTTTGTAATACCCCTGCCCCCCAGTTTTATGTTATAAAATAGACTAAAGTATCAATGAAGACTACAAAGCTCACCTTTGAAACCTGAATCCCACACTAACTTTTTCTCCACACCAATCCTGTTAAGCTAGTAATTTACATTTTGGACTCTGAAGCTCACCAGTTTTCTCCACTTTGGTTGAAACTGTGTGAGTGATGTCAGCATCACAACTGGATTGCACTTGTTCATTAGCAGCCTTCAGAAAGCATGGCCAACACCTGCTACGTGCATCCTGAAAATGGGGTACCAGCTCATATTTATGGAGATTAAGAGTGGCCGCCTCGTAGTGGGAGCCAACGACATTCAAATTCCAGGAATTACCCTGGGCACCACCTTCCCCTCCTCCCCTCCCCTTTCTAAAGCTTGATGGTATGCTGACAATCAGGTCAGTTGCAGGCATGTTAGATTGCACCTATAATTTAGGGAACTTGCTTTTAAAAGCTACTATTAGCACGAGCAGAAAGGTAGTAGTACCTACTACAACTTTGGAGAAGTGGCAATAAAGTGTTCCATAAAAACAGAAAAACAAAAAACAGCACAAGACTACGACATAATTAAGTCACACAAATGGCTCAAAAGTATCTATTGTGAGCCTAAAGTAGGAAATCCAACCCGTTAAAAGTCAGTAATTCTACTTTTCAAAAAATACGTAATTCAGACATTTCATAGCAGCCATTAAAAAAAGAACAACAGACTTTCTTCCCAAGCGTTCTCAGTGCTTGAGCCAAGCCTGTTGAGCCTTAAAATGTAAGACATTACTTCCCTGCATTTATTTACCAACACCAGCTATGTGCAAGGCTGTGTAAAATAAAAGCTACTCAAGGCAGAGTGCCGGCCCTTGAGGACTTCATCAACTAATTTATCTGCCAAGATCTAGACTTACAGTTCAAGATTTTCACCACTTATCAGCAAATGTCCACCAGAACCCAGGTGAGAAAGTGGAGGCAATAATAGTGTCCAGTCCCTGTTCTGTTCTGTTCTGTTGTTTTAAATCCTCGTGTATTTCCTTCAAACCTTCTACTATCCAGAAAGGAATGGATCGATAACAATCAGCCATAATTGGCAGGTTAGTTAAGAAACCAGCTTATTATTTTTGTCTTTATAAAATTTGCCCTTTTGCTGATATGGGTATTTAGAAGACTATCTCTGGTTTCTTACTTGAGCAAAGCCTGCCTTAACACTCCATGATCGCATACACGTTTTAAGAAAGGTTTTTAAAAAGCCAAGGGGCAGAAACAGTGAACTCTGATGTCCCAGTGTCGACAGACACGGCTCCACTACACCCGTACAGACTTCAGATAGTTTAAAACTGCAGAATCCTTTTTTCCCCCTTTCCCCAGGAGGTTAAAAAAAAAAAAAAGGCAATTTATACCTCACCTTTCTTCACCCCTGACAGTTGCCTGGAAACCAGTCTTGCCCTACCTGTGTCGCGGGTGTAGCTCCCGTCACATCTCTGTTAAAGCTACAGCCTCTATTCTGACTACACTTAAGTTTATGACTAACAATCTATTCACATTTTTATCAGGCAGGAGACTGGTTTCTTTCAAGCAGTGATGAAACCCTAATAAAGAGCGAGGAAGCACCCAGCTAGCACCACCAATCACGGTTAATTTGAACAAAGATACGATATACGTATAAATGCGCGATTGACCCGTCCCACGCTGCAGTTTCACTGCTCCTGTAACATCTAATTCATTGAAGGCAAGGAGAGCCACGCTCCTGGGGACGAAAAGGCCAGGGAACCGCTCGGATGAATTAAAAAAAAAAAAAAAAAAAGGCAATGACCTTCGTCGCCGAGTCGGACTGCGGACTCAAAACTGGTCCCGACTAGGGACCAGCAACCTTGGAGCCCGCCACAGCGTCTCGCCGGAGCTTTCTGGGCCGGACCGAGGGGTGCTGCGGGGTGAGAGCGAAGACGGAGGGGGCCCCCTAGCAGCCCCCGGCCGCAGAAAGACCCTGCAGCCGCCGCTCCGGGGCCCCGGGCTGGGGAGACGTGTCGTGCGCGCGCGGGTGCATGGCCCCGGCGGGAAGCCGAGAGCGCCCCGGCCCATCCCGCGCACCTCCCCTGAAAGCAGCGCAGCCGCCGCCCCGGGTCCAGCCCGCTCGCCCGCCCGCTCGCCCTCCCTCCCCGACACCCGCCAGGCCCCTTACCCCCGGGGAGCGGGGCCCCGCGGCGCCCTCCCGCGCATGTCCGTTCCGGCTGGCTCAGCGCCGCGGGCTCCGGGGCCCGAGCATCGCGCAGGCGCCCGGCCGCTCTCTCGCCGTGTCTTCTTTTTTCTCTCTCTCTTTTGCTCGCTCGTTAGGCTTGCTGGTGCTGGTGCTTGCGCTCGCTCGCTCGCTCGCTCGCCCGCCGCCCGCCCGCTCGCCCTCCCGCTCAAACACCACGCAACCCGCACTCCCCGCCTAGCACCCGGCCGCAGCCGCCGCCGAGGACGCCGCCCGCATATATAGGCTGAGCCGGCAGCGTGACGTCGACGCTCGCGGCCCCGCCTACTCCCGCGCGGCCAATCGGAGCGGGCAGCTGCTTAAAGGGGCAACGCCGCGACCGAAGCGTCCGTGTGGGCCCCCGCCGGGCGTCTCCCGGCGGCCTCGTCTCCCGAGGGGGCGTTTCTGGCTGGGCTGCCTCCGTGCGAGCGAGCTGCCGAGCCTCAAGGACACTGACTTTCCTCCCCCTCCCTCCCCCAGGGGGCTGTGTGCAGCCCTGGTTTCCAGCCCCGGGGGAGGAAGTGGCGCGGAAGGAAGCCACCCTCCTGGGGGAGGGGGGAGGGGGCGTGCAGGGCAGGGGCTCGGGATGGAGAGGAGCACCCCGAGGTATCCCTAACGAGGGACAGGCGAGGACCCCGTGGGTTGCTGTGCGGGAGAGCTGAGGGATCATGCAGCCGGGGATGGAGGCGGAGGGCGACGCATGAAGTGGCAGAGAACCGGGGGGAGAGCGGGGGACAGCCCGAGGGACAGCGAGGGGCCGCGGGGAGCAGGGTAAGCCGCTGCAGGACAGAGAGGGTGGCTACACGGGTGATTGAGGGACAGTGTGGGGGAGCGAGGGGACAGTACAGGAAGGTGGAAGACGCTGTGACAGGAGAGACTGCCAGGGGCGGCCGGCCGTGCTCTGTGGGCAGGATCGGGGAGGCCTCACTCCACACTCCCCTGCCCCTGGCCTGGGGGTGCAAAGCTAGGCTGAACTTGGGGCGCCTCCCTCAAACCTGCCCCCCCTCGCCGCCCGCCGCTCTCCTGGCCTTTTTGGTTTACCTGTCCGACTTCTGCTGTTCTCCATGTCTCTTGGCCCCAGGGTAGCCGCTGATGCCCAAGGACAAAACGCCATCAAGTCTGCAGGGAGGAGGTTTCTTGGGGGCAGAAATCCGGTGATGCAACTTAGGTTTATAGTTTAACCGTAAAATAAATAATACAACGATAAACCAAGCGTTGTTAAAGAAAAAAAGCAAACAGACTGAAGCCCTCCAGTTGGAACTAGTACAAATTTCCCTAATGGTGTTCCACAGAGTAGAGGCCACAGACCTGTGGCTGACCCCTGTGGACTGCAAAGAGCCCTTCTTGAACTTCAGCAAGAATGCCTGATAGTTATATGCTTAGCACTACCTAATTGGGCCCGTTTAACATATGGAATGAGGCTCTGGCCTCGTTATCTGGTTAACTATTAACTTCATGCCCCGTGAAATGATTTGCCCTTTCCAGCACTGACTTGCATTCTTTTCAATTTAACTCAAAGGCCCAATTTTAGATTCAAGGCCTTAAACACCAGATTTTTTTTAAAAAAGAAAAGGAAAATCTGAAGTATTCCTTGGCCGGTTTTCTGCGGCAGGTTAGTGAAATGCTAGAATGCCGCCCTCCTCTTTCTGATGGCTCTACAGGGGCTGGTGGGTGGTCGTTTTTCACACCCATTCTTCTAGAAGTTCAGATCTCCCATCTTTTTATTGGCTTCCACAAAGTAAGTATTTTTATCTTAACGGAAATTAGTCATTGCCAAATTAACTAGATATTTATTATTTGCTTGCTTATTTAGGTTTCGAGACAGGTTACCCTGTAGCCCAGTCTTGGCTAGAACTCACGGTGTAGCTCAGGTTAAACTCAAATGTTAGTATTCAGGCGTTCGTACTGGCCTGCCCTTAGGGTTCTGACAGGATAAGCTCTCAGCTGCAGCCACTAAGAGCACTGCCTGTGCTATTCACTACATTCCCTTCTAAAAGGGTCCTGTCTGCTCTCTCTCTCTCTCTCTCTCTCTCTCTCTCTCTCTCTCTCTCTCTCTCTCTCTCTCTCTCTCTCTCTCTCTCTCTCTCTCTCTCTCTCTCTCCCCCTCTGTCTGTCCCCCCAGTTCCTCTCCCCTGCTTTTCCTGTTTCAGAGGCCAGTCTCCCCCCTTTCCCCCTTTTATGATCCCTTTCCCTAATAAAACAAAACAAAACAAAAACCCTCTGCTTGAACCCTGTCCCACGGTGTCTTTGTCTTGCACACCACTTAAAAAAATTTGTAATGTCAAATGTGGTGATCCTTCAGCCTCCAGAGTGTGTTGAGATTTACAGTCATGAAGTCACCACATCCAGCTTGACTAGGCTTTGAAAGTCACACATGGCATATGCATGGTTGACCCATCTGCTCTCCTTCCTCGCCCCCTTTTCTCTCTCCCCACCCGTGTGTGTGTGTGTGTGTGTGTGTGTGTGTGTGTGTGTGTGTGTGTGTGTTTAAATGATCTACCTGAACACTGTCTTTTCAGACCTCACAGGACAGTGCTTACTGAATGGAGCCTTCATTGTGGTCCGGTTTCATCCAAAAAGAACTGCAGTTACTCTATTTCTGGTCACACAATACAGTTGTAATTTGTGCTCTAGCCTTATTGGCACACTTTTATTATTCCTCTATTCATAAACCAGTGATAATTGCCACAGCAACCCTGGAGCACACCCCTTCTGTAGAGAAAAGCATCAGCAGGATACCCAGTCTACCCGTGTGAGCTGTGGAATGTGCTGATGTTTTGGTAAGTTACATTTTTAAAAGAAGTCACAGCCGGGTGTTGGTGGCACATGCCTTTAAATCCCAGCACTCGGGAGGCAGAGGCAGGTGGATCTCAGTGAGTTCGAGGCCAGCCTGGTCTACAGAGTGAGTCCCAGGACAACCTCCAAAGCAATATAGAGAAACCCTGTCTCAAAAAAAAAAAACCCACAAAAATCGTTTTTAGTACTACATGAATAACCTGGCTTTTCTATTTGGATTTACTTTACTCTTGCAAAAATAAACATTTAGCTTACATTTTCTTTTTTTGGGGGGAGGCAATTGGAACTTCTACTTCCCTGATTTTGGCTCATAATTATTCATATAATGAAACTTTCTCAGCTGTGGAGGAACTATGTGAGAAAACCTATACTCCAAAGTAGGCTGCTTAATCGTATTTCACAATAACACTGATATGCCAAAAGTAATGGAGAATAGTTTGAGAAGAGTTTGGAGTGAAATGCTAAGCCACGTGAAGTGACAATGACATATCGGTCGATTGTTGTCCATTGACCTTTAACAGTTCAAACACCAGAGCAGAGAGTTAGAGGAAATATTCTTTTCTAACTTGTTTGAAGTCGTTTCCTTTTTAAAGGCTTTCAAAGTTGGTTAGATTTGAGACCATTCCTCAGGAGTTTTTACTAGCTGGTTTCTTTTTTTTTTTTTTTTTCGAGACAGGGTTTCTCTGTGGCTTTGGAGGCTGTCCTGGAACTCGTTGGTAGTCCAGGCTGGCCTCGAACTCACTGAGATCCGCCTGCCTCTGCCTCCCGAGTGCTGGGATTAAAGGCATGCGCCACCAAAGCCCGGTTTAGCTGGTTTCTTTTAAAGCAAAACTTAAATAGATGTCTTTGTTTTTTCAAGACAGGGTTTCAATACAGGGTTTCTCTGTGTAGCTTTGGAGGCTGTCCTGGCACTCTCTCTGTAGACCAGGATGGCCTCAAACTCACTGAGATCCGCCTGCCTCTGCTTCCCAAGTGCTGGGATTAAAGGTGTGCGTCACCAACGCCCGGCAAATAGATGTCTTAAAGCATTCGTCTTATGTCATGTTGTCCCAGTTTGCCATTCTGTACCACACTTTTTTAGCCGCTCTGGAACAAGAACAAGGCTGAGGTTCTAGAAACCTGAGACTCAAGGTGGCACTTTCCCTCTGTTCTCTCAAAGGAATCCCACATGTAAGGCCTGAGCAAATGTACGTTTATGTTGTTGCTCTTGGAAACCTATAAAAGACTACACACATTTTTGTGTTTATTCTTCTTGATTATAAGTGTTTTGTGTACTTTGTTTAAAAAGAAATACTTTTGCCGGGCGTTGGTGGCGCACGCCTTTAATCCCAGCACTCGGGAGGCAGAGGCAGGCGGATCTCTGTGAGTTCGAGGCCAGCCTGGTCTACAAGAGCTAGTTCCAGGACAGCCTCCAAAGCCACAGAGAAACCTTGTCTCGAAAAACCTAAATAAATAAATAAATAAATAAATAAATAAATAAATAAAAAATAAGAAGAAATACTTAAAAGAGAAACACTTTTTGCATTACCTCATCAATCATAGGGCCTTTGTTTCTCTCAATACACAGGGTATATCAGAACTCTTCACTAGTCTGTAGATAAGTGCAATAAAAATACATGAACAGTGGGAAATTTACATTTCCTAGAGGTCGTTTGCTTACTGTACCACACCGTTGGGAATAGCCACACACACACACACACACACACACACACCTCTGCAGCAAACTCCTTGGATTACTTTAAAGCCTGTAGAAGAACCTGAGATTCAGGCTGTCCAGATGGCTCAGCCTGTAAAGGTTCTCGGGGCCAGGCCTGGTGACCAGAGTTGGATCTCTGGGACTCACATGGGGGAAGGAGAGCCAAGTCCTTCAAGTTGCCCTCTGACCTCCATGCATGCACGCACACATAAGTGACTAAATGCTATTTTTGAAAAGTTTAAGAGGGCCTGGGAAGGAACTGAAAGGGAGGGAATGGGGTGGACTCGATCAAAGTACACTATAGCCGTGTATAAAATTCTCAAACAATTAAAAAGAGTAAGAACCCTGAGATTTATTCACAAGGAGCTACTGCACCACAGCAGAGGGTTCCGCCGAACTTTGGACTTTAACTGCCATATGGAAAGTAACACAAAAAAATGTTTGCAACATTACTGGTTTTTCCTTCTGTAATTCAGAATATTGCTGTCTTTTCTAGATTTTTCTCTTTAAAAGGGTTACACACACACACACCACACCACACACACACACACACCATACCACACACACATACCACACTCACCACACTCACACACACACACACACACACACACACACACACACACACGGGTTGGGGTGATTTGTAGCCTGTGAGAATGTGTGTGCTTGCTGTGTTAGAATTTTCTAGTCTGTTGTTTTAGGGGAAGAAACTGACTTCTTTCCCTCAGAATGGAAACAGGCTCTAGCTATCATGTGTTTTTAATTGAGTCACCTTTGATGTATATAAGGCTCCCTTAACAAACACTGTGTTTCTAATTCCAGCCCCATCTCCAGAATTCATAACTTTAAGAAGTTTTTTTATCATCCTATGGATTAATTCATTTACATTGATTACCTAGATGTTTTTTAGATAGTTTTTTTCCCCAAGTTTCTTTTAAACGTTTTTCACATTTAAGCATTTTACGTGGAGTAGACACTGTATTTCCTATTAGCTGGCCAGTAGGGTGTGCTCTAGTCCCTTGCCAAATTAAGTAATTAAAATATTAATGTAAACACTGCATTAAGAGATTTCAGAAACTTAATTTACTTCTTTATGACTACTAAACTATGTAGGGTGTGTCTCTATAGACGCAGGTCACTCGTGCATACACAGCACATGTGGAAAGATAAATTAGGTTATTAAATAGGGAATGCTTGATCAGCTTACTTCTTTGGCTTAGCCCTAAAATAATTGGGTATTTTCTTTTATTCTGAGAAAAGAAGAATAAAGAAAGTGGTACAAAAGCCAGGTATGATGGTGCGTGCTTGTAACCTAGCAACCAGGAGGCTGAGACAAGAGGGTGGAAAGTCCCAAGTGTCCTGGGCTGCATAGTGAGACTCTGTCTCAAACAAACAGAAAGAAAAGAAAGAAAGAAAGAAACAAAGAGGGACGGAGGGAGGGGGAGGGAGGGAAGGAGGAAAGGAGGAAGGAAGGAAGGGAGGGAGGGAGGGAGGGAGGGAGGGAGGAGGGAGGAAGGGAGGAAGGAAGAAAGGCAGGAAGCAAAGCAGCAGCTGAGAGTACAGCCTGGAACCCGAGGGATTGTGCTTGAAGCCTTACTTGGCCCCTCCCCAGCACTGACTGTATGTCTTTGGGCAAATTATTTAATCTCTGGTGTTTAGTAACCTGGAAATAAGAGCTGTTCTTAAACAGTCGGGCTATTTGTCAAACAGATTAGCATGGAAAGCATGTAGAAGACAGTTTGGAGCCAATTAGTGGTCAATAAACGTTACTTTTTATGTTACTGGTTGTATTGTTACTCTCATTGTTATTGTTGCCTATTCTTTGAGAGGTGATTAAACACCTTTCACAGTAAAATTCCCCAATTCTCGATTGTTATCTACACCTGATACAATCTGTGGAAGAGGTGGTTTCATTGCCTCCCAACAATGTAAGTGACTCATAGGATGTCCTCCCCGACTGCAGTAGGAAACTTTAAGACAGAAAAGCATGCATCACAGTGAAGCCCCAGGTCCCCGGCTTCCCTCCCAGTGGCCCAAAGGCAAGGTGGGAAGTGGCTGTGAAAATTCTGTAGGTGGCTGGGCGGTGGTGGCGCACGCCTTTAATCCCAGCACTCGGGAGGCAGAGGCAGGCGGATCTCTGTGAGTTTGAAGCCGGGCTGGACGGACAGCCTCCAAAACAATACAGAGAAACCCTGTCTCATAAAAGAAAGAAAGAAAGAAAGAAAAGTCTGTAGGTGACCCTGAGCTCGAACTCTTGCACAAGCACGAGCACGCGTCCCTTCCAAGAAAACAGATTTCATCCACGCAGAAGCCTAAAGCCACCCCCCCCCCTCACAGCCCTGTATATGAATGGGATGTGAGGACAATGGGTATGCTGGATGACTGGATATTAGTGTGGATACATTTCCATATGTATGTTTATAAATATAAACACACACACACACATGCACGCACACACCATGTCACAGCACTGTAAATCTGACTAGATTAATGAAATGACCTCCTTCCTCACCCCCCCCCAGTCCTCTCATCTTTACTAAACCGTTTCCTTTGAGAAGTTAGTGAACCCTCCTCTACCGTGCTCTTGCTCATGAGGGGCTGGAGGAAATCCACCTTCCAGCACCCCAGTGGGAGAAAGAGCTGCTTCAACAGGCGGGCGTGACTGCTGGTTCTCACGGAAGAGCTAAGTTTAAGTTAGGAACAGGGAGGTGGGGGCGTGATGAGTCAAAGCGGGGGAGTCTGCTGTGTTGGTGGCCCATGGCAACCCTTGGATGTCCAACAGAAGAGCTTGTGAGCACTGGCGAGTTTAGTCTTCAAAACACTCATTCACTCAGGTCAAATTTAGCAAGCTGCTCCCCACCAGCCAATCCCTGCCTTAGCACCGGGTACACCGGGAAACAGAGTGGGTATGATCTTTGGCCCATGACACTTGGTCTAATGGGAGAGGAGGAGGGTGACAGACAACTGACAGGTGTGTCGGTCCTTGTGCTAGCACGGCAGGCGACGGGAGAGCCCTGCTGAGGCCTGGATGATGTGTGAGAAGAGGTGTTCTAGATGAAAAGCCTGAAGAGAGGAGCATGGGGCGGTGGGATAGCAGAGGACTCACCTGGAACCGCAGGTGCCTTCCGTGTGAATTGATAGAGTGTGAGGGAAGGTGGTGGCGGCGGCCAGAAAGGGGTGAGATGAGGAGGTTCTAGAAACACAGATTCTGGGCTTCTGTATGGATTTGGAAGTCACAGGCCTTCACGATAGCTTGCGCAGAAGGGACAGATTTGGGAATATAAGAAAACCAACTCTGTTAACAAACTCTGCCTGCTGCATCAGGAAACACACCAGGACTTCCAAGGGTGACCATGGCTCTCTCCACTGATAGTTGTGGAGTACCTGTCATAGGCGTTTCTGATGGTTGTACCTTTTCAAAGTCATTTGAGTTTTCTGGTGGCTTCTCCTTTTTCCTTTAATGATTTCGAATGGTTCCGCCCTGCCTCGTTAACTAGAGTGGAGGACACCGATAAACACTAGTGCTTCTATAACCCTTTAGTACATAGCGCCACCTCGGTCACAGGCATAGGGTTAAATCATAGAGCAGGAGATGAACAACAACTTAATTGACCTAAAATGCAAAGGAAAAGCCAGGCAGCGGTGTCACGCACCTTTAATCCCGGCACTCATGAGGCAAAGGCAGGCAGATCTCTGAGTTTGAGGCCAGCCTGGTCTACAGAGTGAGTTCCAGGACAGCCAGGGCTACAGAGAAACCTGTCTCAAAAAAAAAACAAAAACAAAAAACAAAAACAAAACAAAAATGAAAACAGAAAAACAGCCAGGTGGTGGTGGCGCACACCTTTAATCCCAGCGCTCGGGAGGCAGAGGCAGGCGGATCTCTGTGAGTTGGAGGCCAGCCTGGTCTACAGAGTGAGTTTCAGGACAGCTTCCAAAACAATACAGAGATACCCTGTCTCCAACCCCCCCAAAAAACAGAAAAACAAACAAAACCCCCAAAACAGCAGCAGCAACAACAACAAAAAACGAAGGAAAGTTCTCTGGAGAAGTGCAAGAGATTCTACATCCTTATAAAGGTTTCAAGGACCAGATAGTTCTTGGAAGCGCTCTAAAGTAGGGAAATAATCACAGACAGAGAAAGCTTTATCCCGAACCCTCAATCAGCGATCCGAAGCACGATGAAAAGCTGGCCCATTAATAGGACAACTGGCCAAATAGAAAATGGAATGCCTATTCATAGTCTCACAAAGCTTTTATAAATAGGATGAATGTCCTTACTTGCGGATTAGGAATAATAACTAATAATAGCTAACACTTTGTAACATTTACTTAGAACTGGCCATGATGTAAGCCTCTAGATAAATTAACTTCCCATGCTGTTGTACCCAGTATGGGATGGGGGGAGGGTTAGCCAAGTCCTGTCAGGATTTTAATTTGCTAGTAACAGAACCCCCTCATAAATAACAAAGGCGTTCAGTGGGTCGGCACGAGAAGCTTGCAGGTAAAGCTGAAGGCTCTCTAGCCGGGTCTTCCCGTTAGGCTGGCCAGGCATGGGCTTCCTTTTAAGATAATCTTGGTGGCGTAATGCCTTACAGAACACCCTGATGCCCTCCAACCAAATATATAACAGAGCCTAGTTTGTGGTTTGAATAAAATCTGAGTCTCACTGCTCCAAATCAAAGGCCAGGGAAATGCAGTCTCCCATTGGCCAAATCTGGAGCCAAGAAGGCAGTTCTGTGATAGGTCAAGCCTGAGCACCCAGCTTCGGGGCGGGCAGCGATAAGAGCTCCAACTGAGGGAGTGTGGCAGTGAAGGGACAATTGTCTCCTGGGGTAAGACTCAGGCGTGCCTAAACTTTTGACATCGAAACACCGTGTCATCTGGAGAACCACACAATCAAGTAAGCAAAACTGAAAACTGTAAAAGATAAATCTCCACGTTTTAAGTGAGCTGATGGTGTTGGGCTGTGTTCACAGCTGTCTTTGGCTCCATGTGGCCCCCAAGCTATAGGATGGATAAGCTTAGTAGGCAAAAAGAGAAGAAATACATGGGGTTAGGATAAGCAAATGTCCCCTGTAACTGGCTTGTTATCAACAGCATTGACCACAGTTGGCTTATGGATGTCTTGTTTTCTCTCTGTGACATCAGGGCAAGGGGTGGAGACATTTTGAATAGATCGGTGGGACAGATATTCTGGCACTCGGGAGTCACAGAATGCTAAGTGTTACATAGCTCAGATGGAAAGGTATCCTGGAGCTCAGGAGCCAAGGACCACCCCAGGCCTCAGTAAGCAGAGCAGCTTACAGCCCTGCCTCAGGGAAAGACTTCCTCAGTGTATTTGCTCTGCTCCAGCAGAAGAGGGTCTTCCAGCTGGGGATGTTTGCCCAGTGTAGCAATTTTGCTCCAGCAGAGGTTTCCCCGGGCGAAGTTGCTACAGTTCAGCTCTGAGAGTGGAGAGCCCAGAGCAACAACTCCGCTCTGCCAGGGGAAGGTTTCCCCTGCAGAAGTGTTACAGCCCTGCTCGCTCTGCTCTGCCCAGGGTTGTCTCTGCGCCGCAGCAAAAGAAGGTCTTCACCGCAAGCTCATCAAGGGGTTTATTGGGAGGGAAGAAGCCAAGAGAGTGGCTGCCCTCTGTCATAGGAGCAGAGGACAGCTGGGTAGCGTGAACAGCTCTGCCCAGGGTGTGTTTCTTTGGCTCTGCCCAGGGTGTGTTTCTTTGGCTGGCCCCTTTTCCCCTACAGGGCGTTTCACACCTTTTTGGTGCCTCTCCTCCATCCCATCCTCCCGTCCTCCAGAGCCCCTGCCTGTGTGCCTCAATGCCACCATCTTTGAGCATACTGATTTGCTTGTTTAGACACCTCATTCAATTTCTAAATGTTTAATTGCGTCCTCTACACAGATTGCACAAAAATCCAACTGCACCTTGATTGTCTCTGCTGACCTTGGGCCACGTTTCTGGTTTTTCCCACTTGGGTGCTTTGCTCTACATGTTTGCTGCAGTCTCTGGGATGGAGGTCATCATGGTGGACATCAGAGAAGGGAGGGAGGGGACGACAAGCTGTGACCACAGGCCTCCACCAAGGCATCGGCTGACTCTGGAACCCTCTGAAACAGGAAGTGCGCCTCAGAGTTGTTCCTTCGACCCGACTGACCAGTCACTCCTCTAGCTTGCTCTCGGCAGGAAAAGCAGCCTCAGACAAGGCAGTCTTCCTCAGCTGAGGCAACAGTCAGCAAAGGCTGGAAGCTGACAGTTAGGGGCCCTTTTTTGGCCCGGAGCCCTCCAAACTTGGGGCCTGAGGCTTGTATGCCTCAGGAGAGAATCTGCAGGCTCCATCTGCAGGCTTCCGGAGCACCGCCCTGCATCTCCTGGAGCACTGCCCTGCATCTTCTGGAGCACCGCCCTGCATCTCCTGGAGCACCGCCCTGCATCTCCTGGAGCACCGCCCTGCAGTTCCTGGAGCACCGCCCTGCATCTCCTGGAGCACTGCCCTGCATCTCCTGGAGCACCGCCCTGCATCTCCTGGAGCACCGCCCTGCATCTCCTGGAGCACCGCCCTGCATCTCCTGGAGCACCGCCCTGCAGTTCCTGGAGCACCGCCCTGCATCTCCTGGAGCACTGCCCTGCATCTTCTGGAGCACCGCCCTGCAGTTCCTGGAGCACCGCCCTGCATCTCCTGGAGCACCGCCCTGCATCTCCTGGAGCACCGCCCTGCATCTCCTGGAGCACCGCCCTGCATCTCCTGGAGCACCGCCCTGCAGTTCCTGGAGCACCGCCCTGCAGTTCCTGGAGCACCGCCCTGCAGTTGCTGGAGCACCACCCTGCAGTTGCTGGAGCACCGCCCTGCAGTTCCTGGAGCACCGCCCTGCAGTTCCTGGAGCACCGCCCTGCAGCTCCCATCTGCTGGAGAGTGTGTTGACTGTACTTAGGAATTCTGAAACTGTTGTTGATGAGGTCTATCTGCGGTTGTGAAGGTAGCTTGGGGAGAGAGTTAAACTATCCTGCACGAAGCCCATGGGTTTGATCTGCCTTACTACAGCAGCAGCAGCAGCAACACAGAAAGCATTAAATCTCCTGAATCCAACATTTTGTTATTATGTAGTAAGCCCTGATTCCAGTAAATAACTTTTACCTTGGAATCTATTTTGCTTGGTATTTCCTTTTATTCTTTGGAGACAGGGCTTTCACTGTGTGGCTCTGACTGGCCTGGGACTCACTGTGTAGACCAGGCTGGCCTCAAATTCACAGGAATCAGCCTGCCCCTGCTTCCCAAGTGCTAGCACTAAAGTTATGCACCATGGCTGGCTTTCGCCCTTTTCTTTTATCAAAATTTATTTCTTTATTGCATTTTGTGAGTGTCTTAGTTTCTTTTCTATTGCCATGACAAAACACCATGACCAAAGCAACTTGCAGAAGAAAGCATTTTAGTGGGAACTTGGTCACAGTTTCGGAAGGAGAATCCATGAGCCTCACGGCAGGGGCAAGGCGGTAAGCAGGCAGTCAGTGTGCTGGAAAAGCAGCTGAGAGATTATACCTGAGAGGGGAGAGAGAGAGAGAGAGAGAGAGAGAGAGAGAGAGAGAGAGAGAGAGAGAGAGAGAGAGAGAGAGAGAGGAGGGGAGGGGGGAAGGGGGAAGGGGAGATGGGAGAGAGAGAGAGAGAGAGAGAGAGAGAGAGAGAGAGAGGACAGTGAAGCTCAGGCTTTTGAAACCTCGAAGTCCACTCCCAGTGACACACATCCATCCTCCAACAATGCTGGGCCTCCCAGCCCTTCCCAAACAGTTCCACAACTGGGAACAAAACACTCACTTGTGTGAGCCTATGAGACTCATTCTCATTCACGTCACCATGACAAGTGTCTTGCTTGCCTGCATGTGTGTATGTACCCTGCATGCATGCCTAGTGTTCTTAGAGGTCAGAAGAAGGCACTGGATACCCCCCACCCCCCCACACAACTGGATTTACAGGTAGTTATGAGCTGCCATGTGGGGGGGGGGGAATGAACCCAGACCCTCGGAAAGAATAAGTATTCTCAACCACTGAGACAGGGCTCCAGACCTCTCATCTTCAAGTGTGTGTGTGTGTGTGTGTGTGTGTGTGTGTGTGTGTGTGTGTTCCTCCACGGACCTTTAAAAATGTCGTTCTACAAGCTTCTAATAGCATCAAGATTGGTGAAAATTTAGACATGATTCTATTTGTCTTTTTCTTATGGATGTCAAACATTTTTCTCTCTGCTGTACATGGCAATTTATTCATAGCAGGTCTATGGAAGTTGTTTTTATTCTGAAGATTACTGTGTTTTATAAGATTTTTTTTAGTCATTATTGCAATTGCCTTTCCTCCTGTAATTTGATTAAATGAGTATCAGGTCCCCTCTCCCCCCCTTTTTTTTGAGACAGGATTTCTCTGTGAAACAGTCTTGGATGTCCTGGAACTGACTCTGTAGATCAGGCTGGCCTTGAACTCACAGAGATCCTCCTGTCTCTGCCTCCCAAGTGCTAGGATTAAAGGCGTGCGCCACCACCACCACCACCACCACCGCCCAGCTAAATTTTTACTCTTTTATATCTCCTCACTCTTGTATTTTTTTACTTCCTTCTTTCTGCTGGACTTTTATATGACTTCTTCACATCTGCTTTCCAATTTGCTGTTGGTCTCTTCCATTATCTGGGTTACTTTGATTGGTTTTATAACACCAATTAAATGCTTAAAAGTTTTTAGAATTTTAGGCATGGTATTTGGTTTTATTAAACACAATGAACCACTTTTGGTGACTTATTTCCCCCTGTTTGATATTGTTTGGTTTTGTTTTATTCTGTTTTTTGAGTCAGATCTCACTTCATCTGTAACCCACATTGTCCTCAAACTCACAGTGAACTGCCTGCCTCCGCTTCCCAAGAGCTGGGATTACGCTGTCAGCTGTAATGCCCAGGCTGGTGCCTTCTTTATTTCTTAAACGAAGTCAACACTTGGCACCTAATAGTTTCAATGTCTGTGAGATTTGACAGGTGTTTTATGTCTGTTTTTTTTTTTCGGTGGGTGTTGGAGATCTGAACTTGTGTCTTCATGCTTGTATAGCAAGCATTGAACAGCTTATTCTTTTTACAAGATTATTTTTATTATTTTCAATTATGTGCATGTGTGTGAATCTTTATGTGGTTTGTGCATATGAGTGCAGTGCCTTTGGGAACCAGAGCCAATAGATTCCCTAGAACTAAAGTTGTAGGCTGTTGAGAGCTACACGAGGGTGCTGGAAACCAAACTCTGGTCCTCTGCAAGAGTAGCAAGTGCTCTCTTTTTGTTGTTTTGTTTGTTTTTCGAAACAGAATTTCTCTGTGTAGCTTTGGAGCCTGTCCTGTAACTCACTCTGTAGACAAGGCTGGCCTCGAACTCACAGAGATCCGCCTGCCTCTGCCTCCCGAGTGCTGGGATTTGATTTAAGGCTTGAGCCATCAACACTGGTGTTAGTTTTGTTTTTTGTAACTCAGTTTCTCATCTGTTTTTGTGCTTTTCAACTCAAATTTGTAAAACTCCAGTCTGTGGGAACCCAAGGTGATCTTCATTAGAGGCTCTAAACTTACCATTAAGTGGCTCACTTGAACAAACTGAATTTTAGGTGGGGAGATTTTTTTTTTTACCACACAGATAGGAGTTTTTATCTGTGAAAGATTAGCCTGTGTGTAGTAATGAGTACTCAGTGGAAACTCTCTTGCTCTCACAACATCCAAGACGCCATCAAGAGAGAACCCCTCAGTCTCCTTCAGAGAAAGCATCCCAATTCATGGACTGAGGGGTTATCTTTCAGGGTCCCAACTCATACAGGGTCTTTCATAGGTCACCCAACTCTATTCAGGGCTCCGGCTTTATCTCCCAAATTCTCCCAACTTAGCCAACTAGACCTCAAGTCCAGGTATCAGTACATTATTTCCTAAAGATCAGACTGGAAAGACTATATTTTAGGCTGTGTGGCCCCTGTGAATACTATTCACATCTGTCATGGTAGCCATGAACACAGCCAAACAACATATAAGTGCGGGTGTGTGTGGTTTTGTCCCAATAAAACTTTATTTGCACAATCGAACTGTCAAGCTGGGTGTGGCCTATAGGCCTGTGCTAGGCCATCAGGAATTGGCAGACACCTTTAGGGAGATGGCAAGCTTAACATTTGCTATCTATTCAGATTATCCTTTCTTTGCCAGGTCTCAGGGGCTTCCACATTTTGTCAGTTCAGCCATGCAAAGATGCTTGAAAATACCTTGCTAGTCGCTGAGATGTGTACCTGGAGGGCTTCTCCCATCCACCTTGCTGGCTGGCATCAGCGAAGGTCACTTTCTCTTCCTAGGGTAGATTTTTGTCAGGCTCTCAAATCACCCCGGGATGATTCATGTTCACCTAGAATAGCATCTAAACTTCCCCTAGTGTGCTTTTTCATTCTCTCTTTTGTTTATTCTCCTGTTTTTGTTTTGAGTCAAAGTCCCATTAGCCAAAAGCTGCCCTTGAGTCTCTGGTCTTCCTGCCTCCACCAGGTGCTGGGATTATGGGCGTGCCCCACCACACCCAGGGTACTCCATGGTGTTTACCCACCTGCCCAATAATTTCTTAGCACTTACTTCCTTACATTCGCTGTGTGTTTAGCCACATAGTATGTCTATGCTTTCCTGAGTAAGCCCTTCCTCCAATCCTCTTTACAAATCCTCACACCGTCCTCACACACCTCTTCACCAGCACCCCCCAGCAGCGGTAGCCGGTTCAAAGACAACTCCTGTGGATTTGCATCTCACAGCAGGAACCTTCTATTTTAACCTCCAGTGTTTGTTCTCTCTCCTTCCTTCAACGTTCTGTACAGCAAAATTATTTACAAAGTTTTTACTGGGCATTCAAAGTCAAGCTGCATTGGTTATCCAGCTTTGTGGATGTTTCTCTTTCCTCCCCAGCAGAATGGGTTTTGTTTGTTTGTTTTGGTTATTTTGTTTGCTTTTATTTATTTTTGTTTTGTTTTGTTTTGTTTTCCAGACAGGGTTTCTTTGTGTAACAGCCCTGGCTGTCCTGGAACTGTTGACCAGGCTGTCATCAAACTCAGAGATCGGACTTCCTCTGCCTCCCAAGAGTGCTGGGTTTAAAGGTGTGTGCCACCACTGCCCGGCTGCCCGTGTTATTTTCAATGTGGAGCTTCAGTGTTTCCTCAGGCTGATCAGCCGCTTGATAACTCCAAAGCATTCTCTCAGAAACAGGGTCGGGTCGCATTGTGCTTCTGCCAGCCAAACAATAACTGATGAAAGCCAGGTGTGGTGGTGCACGCCTTCTCTCTGAGTTCGAGGCCAGCCTGGTCTGCAGCGTGAGTTCCAGGACAGCCAGCACTACACGGGGAAACCCTGTCTTGAAAAAAAAACATTAACAAACAAGCAAACAAGTAAATAAGACTATGATGAATGGTGCATATTGCCAACTTTCTCACTGCCGGTAAGTGATGCTCTGTGACGCTTGATTTTCACATACGCCTGTAGCATAATTCACATCTGACTAATTTCAACTCGCTATGTAGCCCTGGCCAGCCTGGAACCTCACTCTGTAGACCAGCTTGGCCTCGAACTCACAGAGATCCGCCTGCCTCTGCCTCCCGAGTGCTGGGATTAAAGGTGTGCGCCACCAACGCCCGGTGTATGGGCAATATTATATGTTTTCTTTTTCTTCCTTCTTTTTGGCGCTGTCTATATATTTTTATTTGAACTATTTATGGATGAATTATAGACACGAAGCTGTGACGTTTAAAAACTACCTGTATAAATTTTCAGATGGACTCCATTTTAGGATCACAGAAGAGCTGAAACGAAAGGAAAAAGTTCTTCGCTCCATTACTGATGTCTTACATTGCTGACACACTTGCTGCAAGTAAGGAAACAAATGTGATGCATTTTATTCGATAAAGTCTCTGGTTTGTTCTGATTTTCTTGGTTTTTGTCCAATATTCTTTTTTTCTGCTCTCAGGACAATCCCCCCCTTTATCTAGGACACCATTAATAGCCATTTATTATTGGTGGTTAGGGTCAGCCATTTAGTAGGTGGTTAGGGTCAGCCATTTAGTAGGTGGTTAGAGTCTACACTGGGTGTAGACCCATATTGAGAAGAATTGGTGGGGAGTACATGGGAGGAGTTGGAAGGGGAAGAGGGTTGGGAATGGCATAAATCAATATTCATCTGTGAAATCCCCCCCAAATCAATTAAAACAAAATACCCACAGACGATTGAAAACAAGGGCTCACACAGATTTGCAAAAGTAGCAAGGTCATGTTATATGGAGAAAATCAATAGTGCAGACTAAAAGGGGATAAGCTGTCTACATTGACCGTGGGCCGCATGAGTAAGGGTGCTGTTTGGGGCCTCCTTAAGAGAAGGGGCAGCTGGGCATTAAGGGCTCTGGGTTGAGTGGCTCTGCGTTCCGATTGCTAGGTTAGTACATATCCATTTTTCTCACTGTGCGTGTTCTTCCCATAACACATCTGATATTAAGCATATGCACACCTAGTTTATGCACAGGCATGAGGGGGTAAGTGGGGGCTTCTCCACGTCTTAGTGTTCTATGGATGTGAAGAGACATCGTAACCATGACAACTCTTGTAAAGGAAAGCATTTAATTGGGGCTTGCTTATAGTTTCAGAGGTTTCAATCATCGTCATCACGGCCGGAGGCGTGGCACATGCAGACAGACACGGTGCTGGAAAAGTAGCCGAGAGTTCTATATCCGGATCCACAGGCCACAGGAAGAGAGCAACTCTGGGCTTGTAGTGGACTTTTTGAAACCTCAAAGCCCCTCAGTGATGCACTTCCTCCAACAGGACCACACCTCCTAGTCCTTTCAAATAGTGTTGTTCCCTAGTGACCAAGTTTTTAGAGTTGTTTAACAAAGAAATGCATTTTATTTAGTAATGATCTAGTTGCCCAGTGATGTTAGTTCTTGCTTTTACTCGCTGAATTAATAAACCGCCTGACTGTTTGACTAGTTGAACTTCCCACACCCTGCATTTGATCTTTTCCAGGAACCAATAAGAAAGCTTAGCAAAATGAACTCCAAATGATTTATTTGTACAGAAAGAAAGAATTTCCTCTTATTCGTACATCCGGCACCCACAGGATACCTCACCAGCGATGCTGGGAGGGGGCATTTTCAGCAGAAATTCGATGCCCAATTAGTGTGCTTTAATTTAGTCAGTGGCTTTTCCATCTGGCCATTACGTGTCTTCCGGAGGGTGGACTAGACCAGCATGAAGAGCTTTGTTATGCTATGAGGGGGTGAGTGGACACAGAGAATATCTCACAGGAGGAGAGGTTTTTATAGATTCTCCAGGGGTCTCTGTTTCCTGGTTAGTGACACCATGGAGAAGACAGAGAAGACATGTGCCACTTATTGTGACATTACACCTTTTGACAAATACTGTGAAACAGGGAAACTTCACAAAATATATGGCAGAGCGAAGTATCTTCTGCCCAGGCAAACTGGAAGTGGGTGAACATATGGTACCCGGCAGGTGGATAGATGGGCATATAGTACCCGGCAGGTGGGTAAATGAGTGTACGGTACCCGGCAGGTGAGTATCCAGTTCCTAGTTCTAAAACACAAAGTGCAGACTTGACCTCAAACAACGCATCATGGATACCTAACGAGCCTCCTAAAACATTTTGGTTTTGGGAGACAGAGAAATAGACAGAGACACATACAGTGATTGTGTGTGTGTGTGTGTGTGTGTGTGTGTGTTTTCAACCTTTGAAACTGGCTGATGGTGGTTATATTCACTCATTAACATCAAAATTAATAACCAAACTCAACTACCACAGAAAGCTCAGGGGCAAAAATCTCCCTGAAGGCGTTTATGCTTACTCTACCCAAATAAAATGGAGGGAATTCCAGACGTAAAGATTCCTGAACAAAAGCTCTGTTTACTACGTCACGGAATGTTAGTGTTATATCCAGGTACAGCCTCTATTTTCCAATGACAATCTTTGAGCTTCTGCTGTTGTTGTTTTCAGATCCTGGGGTGTGGGCTTAGATGACAGGCATTGTGGTTTTTTCTCTTTCTCCCTCTGTCCTTTAGAGACAAGGCATTGATTGCCATGGTAGTGAGTGTTAGTATGTCTCCAGCCGTCCCCATGGTCAGACTTCCCTCCCAGCTTCCTCCTCTGTAACAGTGTTGACACACTGTTGAATAAAGCCCATACTTATCTCTTAACGTTTTCCCCACTCTGAATGCCATGGTTGGAGTTGGGAACTTCCTCCGAAGGCCGCGGTGTTGGGGATCTGGTCCCCAGTCTTTGGTGCTGTTGAGAGGTGGTGATCAAAAGAAGCCTTCCTTCCTTTGAAGTTGATGAGCTAAGGTTTTGTTGTTGTTGTTTTGTTTGTTTGTTTTTGTTTTTCAGTCGCAAAGTAGGGAAGCTCACTCACACACTAGACCCGAGTAACAAATTGGCGTTCAGTGTATAGATTCTGTGTTTTCATGAGCATACCACACTCTCAAACGTCTGTGGAATGCTAACTTTGCAGACTAAGGACCCAACAGGTTTCTTGTGATGACTCTTGCTTTCAGATGATTAGGAATCCCTCATTTGTACGAGTAAAAAGCGATTGTGTACCTATACATGTTTAAACACCAAACTTTGCTAGCGCACAATTCCGATTGTGTCTAATCACGACTACCCAGATAAAACTGAGCAAGTCTTAGGCACAGAAGTGTATGACTCAAACCTTCAGTCCTTCCAGGAACCAACCCAGAAGTCTCTCCATGTGTCTGCAGACTCTGCACTTCAGGATATCTGTGGACATTTTACTGTGTCCCACTGTGCCCTTTGTTTCCCAGCCATGGAAAATGCCCATGAGAAAAAGTTGTGCAATCGCCGTTAGTCACTTCTGTTTCCTGTGCTCCCCACTTAATTCCCTGGCAGCTGGCACTTACACTCAGGGTTGAAGTTGCTGAGGGGTATTCGGGAAAACCCACATAAATGCCTCAGATGAGGTTTGGCTGCCTATGACTCTTGGTGACCTAACAGTGTTATAACTAGAGATTTCATCAAACAGGGCAGGAAGGAAACCCCTAACACTGCCAAACACCCACGGAACGTGCTGGAATCCAAGGACCATCATTTATTAAAAATGGATTTGCCACAGTTTTTAAATTGATGAAGCTGTTGGAGGAAAATTTGAACCTGAATTTTAGATGCAAAAGGATTACTGTAAATGGGGGGATTTTAAAGGCTTAATTAAAAGAGAAAAAAGAGAGGGGGCCAGAGAAGAGAGCAGAGGAGAGGAGAGGAGAGCAGAGGAGGGGAGAGCAGAGGAGAGCAGAGGAGAGGAGAGGAGAGCAGAGCAGAGGAGAGGAGAGGAGAGCAGAGCAGAGGAGAGGAGAGGAGAGGGAGGAGAGGAGAGGAGAGCAGAGCAGAGGAGAGGAGAGGAGAGCAGAGGAGAGGAGGGGAGAGGAGAGGAGAGCAGAGCAGAGGAGAGGAGAGGAGAGCAGAGCAGAGGAGAGCAGAGGAGAGGAGAGGAGAGCAGAGCAGAGGAGAGGAGAGGAGAGGAGAGCAGAGCAGAGGAGAGGAGAGGAGAGCAGAGCAGAGGAGAGGAGAGGAGGGGAGGGGAGAGGAGAGCAGAGCAGAGGATAGGAGAGGAGAGCAGAGGGGAAGGGAGGAGAGGGGAGCAGAGCAGAGCAGAGGACTGAGTGAGGCTCTGGCCATGACAAGGCGCTGAGCAGCACGGCCTTGCTTCAGCAGGATGGGCCTGCGCTTGGGATGAAAGCGCCAAGGACTGACCGATTGAGCCGGTCAAGCATGGCCGTCTGTGGGAGGAGCCATTTCCCCACCCTGCTTTACCACACCCGAGGACCTGATGGCCAGTGCCTACTACAAATGGGATTATGCACACATCATTATAAGTGTATATTCTGTGCAAACTGAGTGCTGCCTTTATCTTTATTGCTGTGGAAATGGCCTGGCGGGCTCTGAACCTGCCCCCCACCACACACCTAAGAACGGGATGTTTCATAGGTTGTAAGCTTTCATGACTTCACGGTGCCTTTTGCTCCTGCTTTGTTTTGATTGTGGTTTTGATCTAAGAATGTGATTAAGTGCCGCCCCGGACTTCGATAACCTTGTGCCTGGAAGGCATGTGCGCTCAGAGACAGCGTCCAGCAGTTGTCTGCTCCCTCTATCCCGACTCAGCCCGGCCCATTGTGGACTCACCCTGGCCCGTTTCCTTCGCCAAACTCCTTCATAGGTAGTTACTTCGGTCACTTACTTCCCTAAGCACCGCAGACGTTAGCTGGCACATGCACCCACATGTCACTTAACAGAGTCACAGTTGCTAGGAGGGTCAACGTTGCACACTTATGCATGCCCAGATGGTACAGGAGACCACTACCTGCGGCCTCTCAGAGCAAGGAGTAATGCAGCAAACACACATGAACAGGGCCGATGCCTGCCACACAGCCGTACAATGCGCAGTTGGGTCCTTCTTCCCTTGGACTCGGGACTGCAGATTTACTGCAAGAGCATTTACCTGCCATGTCTCCGGTCTTGGCCGCAGAAGGTAAAGCAGTGTGTTTTTTACAGCAAGCTCGCTTAAAAGCATGTGACAGGAATATGCTCCACAGTAATGACACAAAGTATGGTATAGTCATAAGGCGGTCACATAGTCACTCATTATCGAGGACGGTGCCCTGTGCATAATTGTAGGCACCGTGAAGCATCCCCACAAACACATGAGGCGTGTGCCGTGCCGTGCTGGGACACGAGGAGGCTTTGATGTCACCGGGCGACGGGAATTTCTCAGCTGTCATAATTGTAATGGAATCACCATTGCTTAAGTGTCTGTGGTTGACTGAAACACCATTATGTGAGGTGAGACCGAATGTGCCTTATCTGCTGCGATCCCGTCACTTAAGGCAGTTTTATCACATTACCTGCCCATGAATTGATTGCTGGGTTCTTAATGTTACACCTCGTGGTGATTCCATCTGTGAATGTTTGCAGCAGGAGCTTCTTACGTTTAATCTATAGCCGTGACGATCGGCGCTGCTCTCCTTAAACTTACTCAGGCATCTTGGGATGTAGACCATGTCCTTACTTCAAAGGTTGATATCTGTCCCCATTTTCACAGTTCCCCAAGACAGCAAATGGTTGGGTTTTGTTGTATAGTCAACTCCAGTGGTATGATGTCTCTCACAAAGTAATCCTTCAGTCTCAAACACCCCTCGAAGCCGACCATGGATGCCTGGTAGATATCTGTGTCCACTTCTGAAGGGGGGGGGCGTACAACCATGGCAGCTTAGTTTTTTTCTCAGTTCTGGTGGCAAGAAGTCCAAAACTGTGCTCCCCGGAGGCTCTGGGTAGAATCCTTCTTGACTCTTCCTAGCATCCGGCTATGCCGGACTATCCCTAGCTATTATTCCTGGCTGTGCCAGACTGTGGCCGGTTGTCCATGGCTGTGCCCAACTGTGGCCGGATGTCCCTGGCCGTCCCTGGCTGTGCCTGGTTGTTCCTGGCTGTGCCTGAATGTCCATGGATATCCCTACTTGTGCCTGGCAGTACCTGGCTGTGCCTGGCTGTTTTTGTTTTTGTTTTTTTCTTCAGAGACAGGGTTTCTCTGTGGCTTTGGAGCCTGTCCTGGAACTCACTCTATAGACCAGGCTGGTCTGGAACTCACAGAGATCCGCCTGCCTCTGCCTCCCGAGTGTTGGGATTAAAGACATGCGCCACCAATGCCTGGCTGGGTTGAACATGTTTTGTACCGTGATAGTGATATTAATACGAGATCTTGGGGACAAACCAAAAAAGGAAAGTCTATGGTTTAATAGTGATGTGTTTGTGTGTCCAGTTGACAAGGGGTCAATTGTTAGTTTTATGTCAACTTGATATAACATAAATTTATTTGGGAAAGGGACTTTCAATTGAGAAAATGCCTCATAAGATTTGCCTATAGGCAAGTGTGTCAAGCATTTTTTTAATTTAATGATT